CGTCGCAAAAAATATGCATCATTATCATTTCTCATATTTGAATGAACGTCACTTTAATCCCTCCCAAGAAATTAATAACCTACATGAGCCCAAAGAAAGTTTGGAGTAGTAGTTAGTTAATCAAGCATCTCCCTCACAACCCCCAAAATCTAAAACAAAATTAGTACAGTATTAAAAAATTAAAACAAAAAAAAAAGAAATTTGGCAGCACCACAAAAAAAATGAAGAGTAGAATGTACATCCAACAGTAAAAACAATAGGGGGGGGGGGAGCAAAGCTGCCATAAATGTGGAGCTTAAGCTGCTTGTGACTTTCTGTTATTAACAACCAATGAATCAATCAAACACCGCCTCCTCACTACTCATTCCGCCGGCCTCCCGCCGCCGTCCTCCTCCAGCGGTTCCGGAAATATCTCCTTCGACCGCCTGCTCGAAGACGAATGCCCCCCTCCTCCTCCTCCCTCCCCGTTGTTCGGCCCGCTCCCCTGCGAGCCCGAAGTCCGGGACCGCTTGAAGCTGCCCGCGGCCCCCTCGGGCGCCTTCGGGCGCACGTCCGAGGAGCTCTGCCGCCAGCTGCCGAACAGGGTGGCGGCATTCCACGACCCCCGGGAGGACGAAGAGGCGGCGGCCGCCCTGAGCCTGGCGGACCCCGCCGCCACGCTGTGCTCCTCCCTCACCACCTTCAGCGGGTTCTCCAGCGCCTTGAGGATGTACCTCATGAGGGGCCGCCGCGACGGCTTGGGGTTGAGGCACGACCTCGCCACGATCGCCATGGCCCACACCTCCTCTAGCAGGTCCTCGTCGATTATCAGCGAGGGGTCCACTATCTTCGTCACCAACTCTTTCTCGTATATGCTGATGTACGGCAGTATCCGGTCCAGCCACTCCTTGGTGGGCCCGTCGCCCTCGGGCCCACTCAAGCCCAGTCTGCCCGTCACCAGTTCAAGCAAAACCTTCCCGAAGCAATACACGTCGTACGTGCACGAAGCCGTATGTGAGCCTGACATTAAGAACATGGAAACCTGTGAATTTTTTTATGTAAAGAAGAAAAGATCAAGACTTTTGGCTGAGTAATACCTGAAGATGACTGATCTGATGTTCTGCAAACAACAAAGAAAATGGAATCAACAATGTTCTTGTATACATAACTAATCATGCAAGTGTTTATTTTAAGTTCCCACTTTCAATTCACATGGACATATATGGAAAGAAATCACGAAAAGATACACAAAAACCAAAAGGATAATCAAGAATTTTTAAAAATAACACTACCTTGGTCCCTGTTAAAACTGTCATACTTTCGTTTTCAGTTTGTTCCAAAACAATGTTTAAATTCCCAACTTTGGGCACCATTGACTCGTTAAGTTTGTTAACGTCTTGAGTCGTTTTTTCATAGTTGGTCCCGCTCCAAGGACAAAATGGGAAAGTGAATTACATTTCACTTGTTTCAATAAAAACCCACGCCAAAAGCATATAACATTTTCGAGCAACAAACAAGTGATGACGATACTACCACCCACCACAACATTTTATCTAACAAAACAAGGTTTCAAGAAAGAAAAAAAGTGATATTACTTACTGTTGGAGTCGCAGAAACCGGGAAATCCTACTTTGATGAGGATCGGCTTCTTGTGCACAAACTTCACTTAGGCTCCCTAATCTCACTTCAAATTTATCATCCAGCAGTATACTACTGGATTGAACATCTCTGTTTTACCATTGAGAAATAAACACGGAGTCATTTTAAAGGTCCAACACAGGAGTACAAACAAAGTAAACACATTAAACAGTAGCTTTTTCTCTTAATTCCTTTCACATCAAGACACTAGTAACATCTACGTTTGATTTTCTACTCTTTTTTTTCTTCGAGTTTTCAATAAGAGCGGGTAAGGAGTGAGTGGTGATTATTGCATCTTGGCTATGAGTAAGGTTTTGAACGATATCTTGAACGCGCCATATCACAGATGACAACCTTAAGGCTTAAAGCGCTTCTTAAAAAGGCTAGAGAACTTCCTAAGAGCCACTTAAGCATGAAAACCAAAGCAACATCCTATGCCAATCATTACTCACCTATGAAGACATCAAAATCATCTCCAATGTTATATAATCTATCTCAACATAATAACTTCCATGTCCAAGGTTTTGTGTCTAAAAGGTTCTCTACAGTTATGGTTTGTGAGGATCTTGGAAAACAGTCAAAATACAAAAGAAAATACATTTATTGAATTGTCTTTCCTTCCTAATTTCCGCTCTATTTTCTTTCCCTGGCATTTGCCGGGTTCCAAAGAGACCCATAGTCATTTAGTATCAAAGAAAGAGAAAAAAAATCCATGCCACACAAACAAGAGTGAAACAAAAAAAATATATACAGTATATATTTGTGGCTTAGTGCATCAGAATACTAGGTACTTTAATATTAAGTATGCGCAAAAAAAAAAAAGAAGCTTTGATAAAGAGCAAGAAAAGATGGCACACAGAAGTTTTAAAAGAGACCTGTGCACACGGGGAGGGGTAGATTCATGATGCAGATATGACAGAGCCTCAGCAGCTCCAATTGCAATTTTGAGCCGCGTTATCCAATCAAGTGACTGTAAACTGTCATCATCCGAATCGTTTTTCTTGAACAAAGAACTCGAGAGATCTCCATTCGGCATGTATTTGTACACCAGGAA